ACGCGCTGCGCCACCAGGGAGGGCCAGCATTCTTGTTTTTAATGGTGAATTCTAGAAAACTTTAAATTATATATGTGTTACCATTTTACTTCTACTATATGGCACTGCTCTGTAATTTTGGCTTATTAGAGACTGAAAGCTTCAAAGCCCTTATTTCTGGCTCAAGTAAAATAACGAAATGAGGTACTGTTAAGGGGAAGGATGGCCTAAAGGAACTCTGCATTCTTATGGACTCCACCTCCTACTCCAGCTTTCTGGACACTATCCACTACTCCAGTGATTGGAAACTACAACTCCCAGTAGTACCAGGGAGAGAACTGCGAGAATCCAAAGGTGGAGCTAGCAGGAATTCTGGGACATTTGGGAGATAAATAGGGCACGATTGCATCTCGCACTCTCTAGGGGAACACGGCTCTCCAGACGGCGTGACCCTGTGTGTTCAGTCAGCCTAGCCATAAGGTATTCCAGTTACTTTGTATCCCACTCTCTTTCCCTGGGTTGTTTCCTATTCCTTTCCCCTTTTGTAAATAAACCCATTATTGGCCATTTTGTGTGTACCTGCAGTATAACTGAATTGTGAGCGCGCAGGTGAGGTCCCACAGACAGACAGCCCAGTCCACTCTGGGCTACCCTGTCACAGTACCAATAAAAATTAGTTATTTTGACACTTTGGACCCTAAAAAATTGTAAACAGAACAACAACAACAAGAAACAAAACCCCAAATTAACACAGGTAGCACTTTCTCTGGGACCTCAATCTTCCGTCAGCATAGAGCTATTTTAGTAACCACTGTAGGTGTGGCAGCCCCATATTCTAGCTCATGTCTTACAGTAAATAGGACATATGACTTCACCTGCTGTTTCAGCACTGATTTCCAGACTTACTATTTTTTTCTATTCTCCCATCTTAATATATATATATATATATATTAAGTTTCATTAAGTTTCAGAATTGGGGTACAGAGATGTGGTGGGTGAAAGGATTCCCCAGAGACAGAGTGGGAAGCAGAACAGGCAGATTGACAAAGTACACTGCTGAGAGGAGCAGCAGGCGAGACTGGAGAGGTCTGCTGCACAATGTGGTTTAGCTCCCTGGCCTGGATTGAACTTGTGCTGAATTGGCTTCTGTAGAGCTTCATAATGTGGTGCTTTAACCCGTTGTGCCACCAGGGAGAGCCCCCATCTTAAATTTCTTTTTAAAAATATGTATGATTTTTTGGGCCCTCCCTGGTGGCACAGCGAGTTAAAGTACAGCACTAAGAAGCTAAAGCTGTTAAAGGGAAGGATGTGCTAAAGGAACTTTGCAGAGTCTTGTGGACTCCACCCCTATTCTGGCTTTCCAGACGCTACCCTCTACTCCAGTGATTGAAAACTATAACTCCCAGCAGTACCAGGGAGAGAACTGCAAGGACCCAAGGGTGGAGCTAAGCAGGCATTCTAAGACTTCAGGGGATAAATAGGGCACCATTTTCTCTCTAACTCTCTCGCTCAGGAAATGGCTCTCTGGACTGCATGACCCATGGCTTTCAGTTCGTTTGTTACCAGAACGCCAAGTCAGCGGAGATGAAGATATTCCAGTTGTTATTTCCTTCCCTTTTCCTCTTTTGTAAATAAACCCATTTTGACCCTTCTGTGTGGGCCTGCTATATAACTGAATTTTAAGTGCGTGGGTGAGGTCCCATAGCCAGGCTGCCCAGCTCACACTGGTGTGCCCTGTAACAAAGCCACTTCAGCATGAGTTCGATCCCCACCCTGGAGGTGACCCACATGGTGTGGCAGACATCTCCTGACCCACCTGCTGCTCCCCTCAGCAGTGTACTTTGTCAATCTGTTCCCCGCTCTGTCTCTGGTGAATCCTCTCACTGCCCCTGCCCCTGCGCCTCTGGCCTGTGCCCCAGTTCTGTGCTTAAATAAATAAAACTTTAAAATACATAATATATATATAGAGAGAGATACACACATATATATACACACACACATATATATACACACACATACACATACATATACATACATACATACATACATACATACATACAATATATATGTATGATTTTTTATGTAAAGATACAAATAAACTGAATCATTATTTTTCCTCTATGGGTATTTTAGACATCAAAGAGTTTTTAATATATTACTCTTTGATCAAAGACCTATTTCTTTACATGAAGAATTATCCAAATGACTTTAGAAGCATGACAAGTCAGTAATAAATCAGAATTAGAGAGAGATTGTCCTAGTTACTTTCTTTAACAACTTCCAAATGCAGTTTGGGATCTAGAAGTATGCAGCTAAGGAAGGGTAAAGTGTTATTTGTAGAATCATATATTAGAAGTCCATTTTTTAAAAAGATTTATTTATTTATGCATACAGAGCCAGGGTGTAGGCCAGAGGTTCAGGAGCAGTGAGAGGATTCACTAGAGACAGAGTAGGGAGCAGAACAGGTAGATCTACGAAGTACACTACTGAGGGGAGCAGTGGGCGAGACAGGAGAGGCCACTGTGCCATGTGGGTTCCCACTGGGGCATGGGATCCAACACGCACTGAAGCGTCTGTGGCTAACTTGCAGAGATTTTCCTAGCCCTTTGTGCCACCAGAGAGGGCCAGATTTATCTTCTTAAGTAATAGTATAAACATAATAATAGTAATATCTTGGTTTATGTTTTATAATTTATAATTTTATAAAATTATAATTTTATTTTATGAAAAAGTCATTATTCACATGCATATGTGTAACAGGCACAGATTTCATGGACCCTGCTCCCACCCCAGATACTGGAACTACAAATCCCATCAACACTAAGGAGAAGCACGCTGGGACGTGAGGGCGGAGCTGAGCAGCCAGGTTAGGATAAAACCAGACAAGTGGGCTCTGGGGGGCTCTTGGCCTGGCAGTTCAAGGCTGGTCGTTTGGCTCTTGATCGGTTTTTCAGTGTGCTGGTGGAGTCTAAGTCAGCTGTAAATTATGGGTTTTTTTCCCCCTCTGATTTCAACAGACTTTCCTAATTAGGTTTGATTTTTCGCAATTTGACTTTATATAGTTAGGTGTGTTTCCCTTTTATTTTTGTTTGTTATTTCCCAAGGTTATTGTATGTGTGGTTTTAAATCTTTCATTTGCTTTATAAAATTTGTGTACCATTGCATCATCAGATAATTCCTGTACCTCATTGTCTCTCTCTGGTGTCTCAATTATATTAGAGTAAACCATTTAATGCTAATTTCTAGATATTAATACTAATATCTTGAATATTATATTTTTTAAAATACTGGAGACTGGTATATTTACATCTAGAAATAATGGTTCATCTTCTTTCTGTTTCCTTGTATAAGTTTGCCAGTGTTGAGAAGAGTAGCATTGTTTTGAGTTTTGTTTTGCTGTACTTATTTTAAGCTTAAAAGTCTTCCAGTGGGAATTGAAACTTTCTTGTTCTTCATAAGAAATATGGAGCTCTTGAATTATTATTACTTTTAGTCCATGCTACTATTCCACCCTCAGCTTTTAGTATTTCAGTATGCCTACACTGAGGAGAGAGACCCAGCGGCATTGATAGAATGCAAGTGGTTCTATTCATCAAATCCTCTACTGGAAGAGACCCAGGGTGTCCCAGGTCCAGCGATGACTCTAGGCTTTGAGTGCCTGAGCCTCAGAGGTCAGACATTGTCCCTTTTTTGGTAACAGTTTTTAGAGACATAATACTCCTTTCCCTCCCTTTTTGGCAGGTGGTTTTGCTGCTGTCGTTCCCTCTGGTGACAGCCAGCCTTTGGATGGACCATAGGACAGGACGGTTTCCTGAACTTCACTCCTGTTTCATCTCTCTGCCTGTAGTAACTAACCTTTTGCCAGGATTAGGGGTTAGGGGAGTTTCCTGCCTCAATTCTAGAAATGAAACTGGTTTTGCTTTGTGTGCAAAAATGACTTAAGAATTGAGCGTTGGGAATATATGAGCATGAACTAGCTCATTCTGGTACCAAATCTCAACCAGGATTTCCTGTGTCCTAGGAATCCCCTTTCCTAATTTCATGAAGCAATATCAGCAAACCTGTTAGTCAAGTATGATGAACTCAACTCAGCAGGGGAAAATAAGGGCATTTATCTTATTGGCATAGTGACCATGTTTGACAAACTGGGTCTTTTCAGTATGGGAAAATAACACTTCCACCCCTGGTGGGCATATAGCTGTTGAGATAAATTTAGGCCTCAGGTTGGTGTAGGGTGGGTGGTATCCTCTTCCCCAGTCCTCCTGGCACTCAAAACTTTTTGAAGAGTTGGATTGTTTTTGGTAAAACAATGGTCAATATGTGGGACAGAAAACAGTTTTGTTTCACCTAAAAGTCACCTTCCAAAGATGTGAGGCCTGATTAACTTTTATTTCTGCTGAAGATTAACTTTTATTTCTGTTAAAGAAAAAAAAATTAAGACGTATTTTCAAATAAAACATGCAGGTTTCATATCCTGCTATTATTCTCCAATATTCTTTATTTTCAGTAAGAAAATTACACTACAGGCCATATTTCCTTACTTAGAGAGGAAAATAACAAATCTCCCGATTCTTAGTTTCAAATAGAGCCTTTAATCATTTTTACGTGTAAAACACTTCACTTAGTTTTAGGAGCATTCTTTGGGATATTATTTTATGATTTTACTATCCTTTAAATGAGGTAGAAGTGTATTTTCATGTCTTCTGATTTCTCCTGTCCTTCAACCAACTAAAAAGTTGAAACCATTTAGTTAATAAATGATAAAGTAATAACAATAAAGTAATAACAATAAAGTAAGCCTGAGGAAATTGGGAGATAATTCTGTTGCCCCATCATTGTACACTTCTCTTTCCTTGTTTCTTACTTAGAAATGTTTAAATAAATGCCAACATCTTTGATTTGGTCAACGCTGGCTTCCCTGTAAGTGTTAGCGGTTATCTTAATTTGCTTTTATTAGTTTACCCCTCCCCCACCCTTACCCACGTGAAAGCCAACCAGGAAACAGTCCTGGGAGTTCTCACATGGCAACTGTCAACCCCCCTTCTAGGATGCTTGCCTCCTTCCCTCCGGAGGGTGGCAGACACCCCTTAGGCAGCGTTTACCCTGAGGGGCACCAGTTTCAGGAAGCCCAAACGGCTTCTGTTGAACCGGGTATAGCGGATGGCATCACCTCTGGGGCTTCAGGCCTTACGGCCTACTCCGCACAGCCCAGCCAAAGTAACACTGCAGCCCCGGGGGAAGAGCTAGTGGAAGTGGAGCCTCCAGCCGCACAGGCCCTGACTTCTCAGGACAATTTGACTGTGGAGAAATTGGACAGGAAAAGCCCCTCATATATCATGACGGTTGCAAGTAGTCTAATCAGGTTCTACAATATTAGAAAAGGAGAAAGCCAGATTGGGACCACCACCAAGAAACCAAAAAAAAGGAAAGAAAATTTGGAACCACCTTGCGGATTGAGCTGTATGGCTTTTCCCAGATGTCAACGCTTTAATAATATCCACTGCTTCCTAACTATCTACTGCATCCTGGTGACCTCCCAAGGTGAGCCTGAGTGGGGGGCAATAGGGACAGCCCCTGGGTTTGGTGAAGTGGGGAAACCGGTGAGAGATACCTTTGTGTGTGTGTGTGTGTGGAGCCTGGTGTAGGGTGGGCTAGCTTTAGCCTGCTCTTCAGGGTTCTTGGTATGTCTGAAATCAAAACAGGTTAACTGGGTCACCACTTGGGGTTGAGTTTTACCATTGCTCCCCTTCATCAGGCACCCAACACAGTTCCCCCCTCACAATGTGGGTAATTGTGGCCAAATGTCCAGAGAATCAGCTGGAAGGAGGGTCCATTGTTTAATGTTCAATCCTATGAAGTTCAGTGTTGAATTGTTTGAGAAATTAAAGATGAAATCAGTATCTGAATTTATTTCTACTTCTGCCCACCATTTTGAGACACACTAGTCAAACCACTTTCTGTCTGTCTGGATATTGTTTCGTCCTCTGTGGAGAGTAAAGGTGATGTGTGACTTCAAACACTCTTTATCAGAAAACCCAAACTCAAAGGTTTCTGTCTTTGCCCACAAATCTTCAGTTGATGAGATTCCACCATTCCCATTACACCTAGATTCTTTATTAATCTGTTCAAAGTGCTGGTTTTTGAGTTTCCCAAATATGACCTCATTTCACTCTAAAATCCTATGTTTAAATAAGTTCAATAAAGACTATATAAGAAATACCTGAGAGGAAAACATCAAATCAGTTTACTGTGAGATCATCAAAGAATTTCTTGAGGAAGAGGCATTTATACTTTGACAAGTTGGTACAGACCTAATAGCCAGGGATGTAAAGAGTATTTATTAAATGATGTAGTAAAAAAAATGGATGAATGAATGAGTGCTTTGATAAACACTCAGATATAGGAAAACCTTATTTCAGAATGGAAGTGACACTGAACAATGGTTTCCTAAGAACCTAAGCACGATATAGGGTTGGACTTTATTCATTGTGTTAGAGTATATGAATCTTTCATTTATTTTTCAATTGTAGATTCTCCTTCACTTAGTCTGTTGACTTCAGCCTGGCTATTTATTTCCTTATGACCCAACGCAGACCATTTTGTCCTGCCCTCCCCATCTACCCATTCCATTTATAGTTTGTCTTACCATTTTCTTACCTGTGTATTTTTTGATGAAGATAGGTTTGGTATTGATACAGTCCATTTTATTTATTTTTTATAATTCAATCTATTTTGATTTCTCTCAAAGAAAGTATTGCCTTAATCAATGTTGTAAAGATTTTCTGCTAATTGTTTCCAGATGTTTAATGGTTCAGTTTTTGTGTTTAGGTCTCTGATCCATTATGAATGTTTTGTTTATGGAAGGAGTTACAGTCCATTTTATTCCATATGGGACCCTTATTCCAGATTGATTTGTTGAAAGACTATTCTTTTAACCCTTTTAGTTAAGTTGGCACTTTCGTTGAAATTCTGAGCTGAATTTATTTCTAGTATCTCTATTTTATTGGCCAAATATAACTATACTTAGACAAATATACTGCATTGGTGACTGTAGCTTTATTATACCAATAGTTACTGCATTCAGATATACTTCTGCCTTTTTCTTTTTTAAATGTTATTTTGGCTATTCTATATATTCTTTTCCATGTTAATTTTAGAATCAATATATTGATTACATTAGAATCTTCCTAGAATTTTAATTGTGTTTTTTTATTCTGTAGAAATTGAGAAAATTGAGATCTCAATAGTACTGTGTATTCTAATGCTTCACCATTGTATACCTCTTATTTAAGTCTTAAGTTCTAAAAGTTTGCTAAATTAAATATCAGTTATAGAATGATGATTTTGGCAGGTTCCTTGGGATTTTTTATATACATCATCATGTCAACTGTGAATCACAATAGTTTTGCTTATTTTTTTCCCAGTCTGTATTTTTTAAATTTATTTTTCTTTGTTGTACTAGGTAGAATCTCCGGTACAATGTTGCATACAAATTATAAAATGATACATTCATTTATTTTTGCTGATTTTTCATAGAAATCACTTATAGCCTTTCACAATTAAATGTTAACTGTAAGTGTTTGTACATGTCCTTTATCAGTTGGTGGGTGTTCCCTGTTAGTCTTAGTTGTTGAAACTTTTTATCAGAAATTGGTGCTGAATTTTATCAAGTGTTTCCTCTATCTACTGAGATCATATGTTTTTCTTCTTCATTCTATAAGATTTGTAGATTACATTTATATTATATATATAATATTATATATTACTATTTACTTTGGGGGTATAATTAACCAACCTTACATTCCTGGGATAAGACTTCATTCTAGTTTGTTGTCATATATATATATATATATATATATATATATATACATATATATATATTCCTGGATTAAATTTGCTAAAAGTTTGTTAAGAATTTTTTATGTTTCAGTATATAGTTTTCTTAGAATATTTTTGTCTACCTCTAATATCAGGTATCACTGACTTTATGAAATTAATTGGTATGTCTTTCCTTTCCCTTCAGAAAGAGCTTGTGTAGGGTGGGTACCTCTACAAACTTTCTGAATCAATTTTCAATTTATGCCTCTATGTCAATATCATGTCTATTTATTGGCTATCAACTCCAAACTCATCTTTTTTACCTACTCTGTGAAAAGTGACCTGGGTGCATTTTCTTGCCAAATATCATGATATCTGGGAACAATTTTACAACTTGTTTCTAGTGAATGTGACAAGCATGATCCAAAACCATGATCCTCTCTTTACAGTAGAAGCAACAGTTACTTCTATGTCTGAAGAAAAAGCAGCATCTTGTTTGACAAAACAATTTACATCTCTTGAGTTAAAAGAATACTGGTTGCACTCATAACCTACCCCACTGCCCCCACCTCCCCCCTTTTCTTTTTGCTACCAGATTCATAACTACAATCAGATCTCAGCATTTCTGGACTCATTAACATAAAGTCCGTCCTGAGAGATAATACCCTACACATCCCAAATTGCCTGCCACTTCTGTGATGCCTATAGATATCACGTGAGTGGGTGTGTGCAGTGTTATGTTTTCGAAGATAAAGGAAAAGTTTCTTCATTCCTACCACCCACTATCAAGGAAAACAAAATCCTTGGTACAACTGCAGTATTTTGTAGGTGGTCATATTCTATAGTGTTGTTATAGCTGCACTCAGGGAAGGCACTGAAAAATAAATCTCCTGGGGGCCAAACAAAAATGTAGTGCCATATTACCTCAATGCAATGCTGCCTTTGCTGAATGGTTTGGCCATCTGATGACTAGGATGGATGGATAGGGTTCTGGCTCTCTAAATGGGCAGAAATATTCCAGGTAAATGTTCACAAAAAGAACTTCATTGGAGAGACGCTCTCAATAATTTAATAAATAGATAAACATCCTGTGAATATTAACTAGCATCTTTTCCCAGTCATGGTATGTCTTGTTTAATGGGCTCATTTTATAGTGAGAGTTGCATCAAAGATGGAGATAATGCAAGCATTGAATAGATGGATTCATTATGTCCACATTTGATTTGTTTTTTGCACTTCTGAGAGCTGGACTTGCCACCAGAAAAAGTCAACCTAATCTAGAAAATTACTCTATTACCTAGTGAAACTAACCTACCAACTGGAGGCAAGTTGATTACATTATCTGCTTCCATGATGGATTGGGCAACACTTTATCTTCACTGAAATAGTTATTTATTTATATACACAGGCGGTTCTTTCATCACCACGGTTTAGCCAGAATGACTCTAACACCATTGCAATCACCTTATTTATTCATTTATTGCTTGAAGTGAAGGAACTCATATCAGAGGAAGAGGAATACCTCAAGAAGTTTATGTTCATGGAGATTATTGATCTTACTACCTGTCTCAATAACCAGAAAAGCTTGACCTTAGACAAGTACAATGCCCTAATGAAGACTTAGATAAAGCTCTTGCTAGGCAATACAATAAAACCAAAAACTTGTGTGTTGTCCCATAAAGTGAGATATGCTTTGAGGTAACAACTTATATGTGTTAATCTAAGATCAAGAGAAGAGAGCTGAGTAGTGGAAGAAGGAAATTATAAATATCAACGATGGTCTCATAACCACATAGAAAAATAAAAACTTCAGGAGTTCTGCCTTTTTTTCCCTTTCTTGTTTGTGAGTGTTCCAATTTTTAAGTTATCTCTTTCTCTTCCATTTATTATTTGACAAAGGAGTATTAACTAAGAGAAATTCACAAATTCATGTTTAGGTTACAAAATATTCCTGAATTAGAGGGTAATTAATACCACAACTTCAGAAATGTGTAGTTACTAACAGGCTATTTCTTACCTTAACCATTATCCTCCTTGGTCACATCAAAAATGATCATTAAAGAAATTTTTCCTCTTATATACAGGAGAGATTTTATATCCTTTTCCTTCTAGTCTTGGTTTGTTAAACTGTTGTGACTCTAAGACAGGCTTGTGGTTCCTTTTGCAACATAATTCCCTCAGAAATTCAGTTAGTCCTGTGATATGTTTGGTTTACTATTTATACTTTTTATACCACTTACACCTTTGCAATGCAAGTTTTTGTGTAAAGGAAAATTCATTCATACTATATTTTACTAGAAGAAGGATAAGCATTACCTTGAAACAAATATGGAGGCTGAATTGATTATATCTCTCACTTTTGGGGGAGTGAGAACATATTTTTTTAAGAATGATAATTGCAATATGTTAGACCAAAGCATGATGATGTTGCTATTTATTTGATAAGACTATATATGGGAGGAAAGATGAAAATGTGTCTTAGGTTATATACAGGGTGCACTATGCCAGAGGTTTATCTATTGATTACAAATTCGATGGTTCCAATTCTGGATTATGGCTAAGTGCAAAAGGTCTGCCAGCCGCTAACCTATATTTTCCAGACTTTCTTGCCAGCTAGTTTCCATTCAGTACTGTCAATAAGCAGGTGTAGCAGTAGAATTGAAAAGGAGGGAAAGAAAATGATCTCTACACCCACCGCTACTTTTCTAGTGATGTTTCTAGTGATGTTGTAGTGCTGGGTTAATAAGGGCTCTGAAATTATTCTCAGTGGCCCATGAAGCTCCATCAGCAACTACAGATGATTCCACAACAAGCAGTTCATTGACTCTAGCTTTGGAAACTGCAAGGACTGCAGAAGCAGCCGGTGGCTGTGAGCTAGCTCTCACAGCATTAGTAGCAGGTGGCTCTGGGCATTTTATCACAGAATTAGTGACGCAGGTGCCAATAGTAAAGGCAGCCAACAGCCCATGCCCCAGTACCTTTGACCACAGAGATTTTATGCATTTTGATTAGTAATTATTTTCCCTGTTTACTCCAATAAATGTGTTATCTGTAGAAATGAACCTCTAAGCAATTTTGCTTTAAGCATTTAATGTGATTATTGTTTTCCTAATTAAATGCTAAGTGATAAAGATGCACACATAAGATACCATTTATTTAGTTTTCAAGAGCATGAAATACAATATTCGATATTGTTCAACGATGAATGTATTGTCAAAAAAGTGTTTAAAAGATTCAAAAATGGTAAAATTTCAAATATAAGATAGAGGTATGGAAGGAGAGAAAAGAATGTGTTTGAGTCTGTGGTGGGCTTCAATTATTTTGACAATGTTTTATTTTCTGTTCTGGATTGAAGGCAAATAGTCATTATGTTATTTCACTTCTCTAGTTGAAATATGATTCATTAAAATGAGGACCAGTAGTAAGATGATTAAAAATAAACAGTATTTTCAGTAAATTACTCACAATATAACTTGAAAGAATTATATTGTATTTCATCTAAAGTATTTCATCTAGGTAAAGTCCAACTAGTATATTAGAAAAGACATCGTTGTGTGCTTACATATCTGAAATATTCAGAATAATATGAACTTAAAAGTTTTACTTTTATAATAAGTATAATGTTGATTTATCTTATCTCTTTAAATGCATATTATTACTTTCTTTTTTTTTCTTTTTACATTCTAGGTATTGTGTTTGGTCTTAAAAATCTGAGCGTTGACCTTTTTCGACAGGCAAACCACCTGCAACCCTTTGAGTATATTATGTTGTCAATGACTTACGATGTTACATCTTGCCTGGTTGTAGTGTTCCTATCATTCTATGGAGGGAGAAGAAGCATACCAAGGTTGATTTCACTTTCCTCCTTTTTAGTAGGATTTGGATCACTTTTGTTTGCTCTCCCATACTTTAGTGGAGAAACTTATCAAGTGAATATAAAATATACAGGTAAGATTTTTACAAAATAATGTCATATTTCAAATCATTATTCTCTTAAACCATTGACTTTGGGAACTTAAAATGGACTGTGATTCTTACCTGTCTATACCTCTGTCCACCTATATTTTTTTATTTATATATTTATTTTTATTTTTTTATTTATATGGTGTTATTAAATTAATTGTATCTCCCTGGTAACACATATGTCATTCTGTAATATTCTCTGATCACAAACACATTTGTAAGCCCGGCATAGGAAGAAGGAGGTATATTTAGTATAACTATTTTGTGAAAATTTCTTTCAACTTTCATATAATAAATATCTTGGGAACTTTAGTGATACCTTAGTCTTCCTGAATGCTTTAATTAATTCCTTTATTTTGACCACTACATTTAAAAAAGCACAGATATGAAGATAAACAAACTTGCATACATAAAATATAAAGCTCACTTCTCTTCTAATGACTCCTATCATTTCATATTGGGAGCTGTTCTTCAACAGAAGACTTTAAACCTAAAAAGATTGGTGATTTTTGGATTTTGTTATGTTTCCTTCATTTTTTATTGTGGCTATTCCCACTCCAGAAAGACTATTTGAAGTTTTAGAGCCCAATTTCTGACACTATTGTGTCAAGTATTTTCTGTAGTGTAAGGCTTATAAAAGCTTACAGTGCTTCTACCTGTTTTGACAGGTTGAGGGGAGGAAAAGGAACAAGAGGATATAATAGAAGTGTGGGTAAAAGAAATACATAAAAAGTAAATAACTTGTTTGAATGAAAAAATGCAAACTTCAATAAATGCACTGAAGGAAAAATTTGCTCCTGACCATATTTATTTTTGTCTCATTCTATCCTTCTATAACAATAAAGTATTATTCTAAAAAAAACTAAGAAAATAAATATGATATTTACTTTACCGAACACAAAAATTATTATTATATAAAAGTACATTTACCAGTGTGTGCTAGTTGTGTTTAGTGATGAAAAGCACAAAGAGAGATTTCTCTTTGTATTTTATAAGTGAAAAATTCCTATATTAATCAGGACAACTGATACTTAAAAACATTAGGGGGTACCAGATTTCAAATTTAAGGAAATTGTATCTATGTGCTATACATATGGGTATGTATATATATATTCCTACTGACTCATAAGTTTGTATGTACAGGTATCCATGCATACAGATTTATATTTAGTTCATAATACATGCAACTTTTCCCCTAGTCCTACATATTTCTTTTTTTTTTTTAAGATTTATTTATTTATTCATGTAGAACTGGGGTACAGGCCAGAGATGCGGAGAGTGAGAGGATTCACCAGAGACATAGTGGGGAGCAGAACAGGCAGATCAATGAAGTACACTGCTAAGGGGAGCAGCGGGCGGGTCAGGAGAGGTCTGCCTCGCCATGTGGATCTCCTCCCGGGTAGGCAGGAATTGAACTCACGCGGAAGTGGCTTAAGCTTCTTAGTGCTGTGCTTTAACCCGCTGCGCCACCAGGGAGGGCCCCCATAGTCCTAAATATTTCCTTTTATTATTGCATTTTTTCTGAGAACATGGTGAATGCAGAACTGCTATATTCCAATATAAGTGAATTTTTTAAAGAAACAAGCACAATGGTAGAAATGCTTTAAAAAAGTAAACTATTTCACCAGTGACATTTTGTATTAGGTATATGTTTAGCTTCTGACTTATTTAACAAAAATGTAATGATCTTTTTCAAAAGATATGTGCCTAGATCAGAAGATTCCCGATGTTTGCAAGAAAAACACACTATCATCTCAATCAAAATTTCTGATTTCCTTCAGCCTTGGGCAGATTCTGCAGGGAATAGCAGCAATACCTCTTTATGTTCTTGGACTCGTCTTTCTAGATGGAAGTGTTACAACACACTCATCTGGCATGTACTTAGGCAAGTATTTTAGCCTCTAACATGATGGACCCATTTTGAATTTTTTAGAATAAATTTTATTTATGTATGCATACAGAACTGGGGTACAGGCCTGAGGTGCAGGGGTGGTGAGGGGATTCACCAGAGACAGGGTGGGGCATAGAAGGGGCCGACTGATGAAGTCCACTACAGAGGGTAGCAGCTTGTGGGTCAGGAGAGGTCTGCCGTGCATGTGGGTCACCTCCCGGGCGAGGATAGAACTCTTGCAGAAGTGACGTTAGCTACTTAGTGTTGTGCTTTAACCCACTGTGCCACCAGGGAGGGCCCCTATTTTGAATTTTTATTTAGTTCTATATTGGGTACATCTAAACTGAGAGATCATTACTAATTTATGGTCCTTAAAATAAATTGCAATAATTAATATCTAGTATGGTTAACCTCAAAATTACATAATTCTGAGGCGCTACTTGAAATTTAGAATTGAAGACTGCTCCTTTGAAGATCATTGAAAAGACAGAAAAATACAATTTCATAAGAAATAAAAATTGCCCTTCCTGGTGTCTGTATATATTCCACAAATACCTGTAACATATATATCTCCACAGATATCTGCACACGTATCTGTGGAGATATATATGTTACAGGTATTTGTGGAATATATACACACACCAGGAAGGTGTGTGCACATATGTGTGTGGATTTGTGCACACACACATATACAATGTCATATCAAACTATAGGCTGAAGTTTATTTCTCTCAGAAAATGTCTCATGTTACCAGATTGAATTGCTTGGGTAATTATATTGTTAAACGTAGGTATATAGGTAAGAAGTTGTTGTCCTTGAGTCCATAAAGGGACAGAAACAATATTTTATTTCTCCTTAGTACTAAATTCATGTTGTGGTTCTAAAATAATAACCACCATTGTACTAAAATCTCTATTTAACTCAATTTTGAAAGAAGCTCTGTGGGAGGATGAATTGATTCTAGTGTATTCTCTATTTATAGTCTTCATACTACTGTAATTTACAAAAATAAACCTAGGGTATATTTTAGAATAATCTGTAATTCCTTATATTATAGTAACATCTGATATTGATAAGTTATCTATATATGCTATCATTTTTTGAAACATATGTAAAGTTGTTCTTATATACTTACTGTGAAGGGCATTTAAAATAAAACAGTATTTTTGTTCCAAAATAATAATTTTTCCACAAGAGATAAAAGAATCTTGTAAATAAATGACATTCACGTTTATGTTTGCTTTTGGAAAACAAATTTTCCACTGACTTATTGGTGTTAGCATAAGGTATAAATGCCTATGTTTGTTTTACTGTTGGTTCCACTGTGTACATTAAAACACACCTACAGACACTGCAGAGAGAAGCTTACCTTACTGCCATCTCCTGCCACCCTTGAAGTCAACGTGCAGAATCCAAACCTGATGATTATATTAAAAAATCACCTTGCTTTAGGTACCACAAATGAAAGGGAAATAATCTATATTGAATTTATATTTATACAAAATATTTGAATTTATTTATATGAAATATTATTTACATGAAATACATAGATGAAATAAAGTTAACAATATATAAAATTATTTGATTTTCCCTAATACATTCATTGGTTAATAACCATGGTGATTAATTTTATGTGTCAGCTTGGTTAGATTATGGCAATCAGTTGTTTGGTCAAAGGCCAGTTGAGATGTTTCTATGAAGCTTTCTTAGATGTGACTAACACAATCACTGGACTTCACATTAAGTGAGTCTGATCTAGTCTGATCTAGTTAATGTCTTTCAGAACAAATGACGATGGTTCCCAGAAAAGAAGCAATTCCATTTCTAGACTGTCACATAGAAACTTTGCTTGGGCTCATCCAGTGGATTTCCTTCTTAATTGTGTACCCAAGAGTATAACTCATACTCTTAGCTGGATGTCCAGCCTGTCTGCCTTACAAACTTGTCCCTGACAGCCCCCACAAATACCTGAACCATTTCCTTCAGATTACTCAGTCTCTCCCCTCCACACTTTACATTTGTTCTGTTTCTCGGGAGAACCCTGACTAGTTAAATATGCCTTGAAGCTTTCAAAACTAATCCATTTCAGTGATATAGTTTTTTTTAATTTTTTTTTATT